CCTCAACACACACACACACACACACACACACAGAGGCCCATCCTCAACACCCCCTGCAACTTGTCTCTAAAAGAATAGTGCACTGTGTCCTTTCTAACCCACACCTTTCTTTGTGCCTTAGTTTCCTCATATGTAAAATGAGATGAGAATTGTTCAGCCATGAATGGTCGACTCCAACATCTCAATGTTATCCTTCACAGGAGAGGTAATGAGTCCGAATTGGGCACAGACTTGTACCAATTAATGTAATAGTTAAACTATTATTGTTATGGTCAGTCATCTTTATTCTGGCCTCTCATAAGAGTATGAAAAATAACTAACAGGACTGTTAACTCACAACTTGCAAAGTACATCAAAAAGTCTACTTTGTATATTGATCTTAATGTCAGATTCAATTTTAGTCATCAAGGTTGTAGTCTTTCAAGGTTACTGTTAGTGAATCAATTTCCTTTTTGGCTAGTGCTCTGCTACTTGAGCCACATCTCCAGCCCAGCTTTTTGCTGGCTATTTTGGAGGTGAATTCTCATGGATTTTTCTGCCTGGGCTGGCTTCAAATGATAATCCTCTGGACCTCTGGACCTCAGCCTAGAGTAGCTAGGGTTACAAGAAGAAGCCACTGATACCCTGCATACCAAGTTCTTGATTTTGAATTGAAAAAATCTAGAGCTCAGGCCACTCTTAAAGAAAATCGAATGAATAATTCATTTATCAAAATCTTATCTGCAGGGCTGGGTACATGTGACTTTGTATGAAAAAGATAACATGGTTATTTCCCCTATAAACTTCAGTTCAGAACAAAACACTGGCCATTGGCACTGGTTTTTTTAAAAAGTGACAGATGATTGCCATTGCCTTATATTCTGTGTTCTAAAATCCTTTCTACTTGTGATTGGGATAGGGACCAGCTTCAATCCAGTCTGTGTGTCTAACCTGAATTATCAGGAAAGGGGATTGAAGAAGAAGATTCTGTCAAAATACACTGTGTTGTCAGACAGGGTGTTTTTGTCCCTAGGGAATGTTGGCAATGTCTGGAGACATTTTTGTTGTTATTCCAAATATGGGGTAGGCAGCTACAAATGTTCATCTAGTGATTGGAAGTCTGTGAGACTCATCTCCAATTATCCAACAAAAAACCCCAGGAAGTGAAGGTGTGGCTCAAGTGGTAGAACACCAGACTTGAGTCAAAAAGCCAAGAGAGAACAGGAAGTCCTGAGTTCAAGTCCCATTCCTGGCACCAAAATTGAATAAAAATGAAAATTGAGCTCTTCCCATAGATGGCTATTGAACATCACCAGCTTGATGTATGAACATACTGTTCAAGCTTTAATTTTAAAGACAACACCTAGAATGGATCAACTTGAATGCCTTATGTGGCACAATTGCTATGCCTTGGGGAAAGGAGATTGCTATTAACTCCTTCACAAAAGTGTTCATGATGGAGAAAGGCTGCCTTCAATTTGTTTCTGGCTTTCCTTTAACTTTGTAACCCAGACTTTAATTGTAAAGGAGCAAACATTATCAGGTACTGCACCAATACCTACTAACTCCATCCAAACGTATTACTCCAAATGAGTGACACAAACTATGAAAACTGTTAGTAAGTTTTTTATTGAAATAGTTTAGTATAACATTAGAAGATCTTAAAATTCTATATTCTAAACCAATGCAAGCACTGCATATAATGTCTTCTCGAATCTAGTTGATAATGTATCTAACAAAGGAAATTATCATGTGAACTTCTACAAGTTGGCTAATACAATTGAAGCTGGAGGCTAAACAACTTTGGTATATTCATATTTCTCTGGTTCCCTTCTTGAGTAGATATAGCCAGGTCTACCTTTATTCAGCAGATCTGGACAGGATCAAAACATTTGGTGGTTTTGCTTACGTGTCCAAACCTTGAGTGTCAAGAAAGAAGAAAATTCTAGGTTTAAGCTGCTCACGAGGAAGGCAATCTTTGTAACTTTTGTTGAACTAGAACCATCAAATCCAGTCTGCATTTCCACCATGTGAGGCTAAGTGCAGTCAAATGAGTTCATAAATGGATTCAGAGATTTTTGGAAAATACAAACATGGGAGCCAAATGAGGATAGAAAATACAAGTACGTAGGTCAGAGAATGGCATGGAGATTTTTATAACAGGGTTTTATCTGAAGACCATTATTTTAAATACTTCTAAGATAATATTATCTTTAAGTCAACTGGCTTTTTAGCCATGTCAACATATTTAAACTTGCACCATTGTCTGTCAAGCTATCTACATACAGGTGTTTACAAAGGTGTCCTCTTTTTGTACAAGCATAGATGTTCAAAAAATACAGATGTCACAAATTTAAGAAAAGTATCAATTGCACAGCATCAAGATAGGCTCCTTACACATCTCCAACCAAGTTTTGAACCCATTACAGAGCTGACTTTACCAGATGACCGCACCATTCTACTCAAAGGCTCAGTACAGCTGAATGCTAGTTGCTGTAGCAATGTAAAAGTTCCTGCTGTCATCAAGTTTGACACTCTAAAGAATTCAGTTCAAGTTTTTCAATGACTTACTGGATTTGCATTTTTTTGACCACTCTGAGATAATGAACTCAGGCCTACTGCTTACTAGACGGGCGCTCTCCATTTGAGCCATACCCCTTGCCCTTTTGCTTTTGTTCCTTTTCAGGAAGGGATTTCCATTTTTGTCCAGGCCTGCCTGGACTAAACTCCTTCTACTTATGCCTCCTGCACAGCTGCTTGACAAGAATGTATCACTATGCCCAACTTATTTTGTGAAGATGGAGTCTTGCTAACTTTTGCCTAGGCTAGCCTCAGACTGTGATCCTATAGATCTCTACCTACTGAGTAGCTGGGATTATTGGCCACTATGCCTAGCCTAGATTTGCATTTTCTACCTGAAGCATTTAGATCAGGAAAATTATTCTCTACAGCTATTAAGTTTCAATGAAGAGGAGAAGTTGCTTTTTATAAATCATTGCTAGATTTTATCTGCAGGCAAATCCTCTTCTTTGAAGTGGTTTGAAGACTTGAGTTGGTTGTCTCTCAACATGTGTACAAGCAAATTCTGAGTCAATGCTTGCCTTTTGCTACTCAAGAGGATGCTATGAAGGACCATCTTATAGAAAATGCACTCTTCAGTGAATTCCCCTTCACCATCACTTTTGAGCCACTTCTCTTGAACAGTATCCTAACGGAGCAACTAATGCTTACTTCTTCTACTTGTTTCAGGCTTTCCTTATCCCTGCTTCTCATGCAACAGCTTTAGTTGAGCTACTCAGTTGCCAGGGATTTTATTTCTTTTAGTTATGAAGGGCAAAAAAATACTCAAAGCTGTTTAAATATGCATTTGGTGGCACTCAAAATTGTATCTTTTCATTTATAACAAAATAGTGAACTGCCTAGTAAACTTATTGGAGTCTTCGTTTTGGTGGAAATCCATGTGAAATGCTGGGGGAAAATGGAAAGTGAAAGCAAGAGCTAAAAATATGTCCAAGAACAAGATTCGAGGACATGAGATCCATCCCAATTGGTTCCCTAGGGGACACAGGGGAGAACATTTATGTGACAATAAACTCACAAACTGTGCTCTTGCAATGGTTTCTTTTCTTATGTGGGTGCCAGTACTGGAGATTGAACTCAGGGCATTTGACTCTAGCTTGGCTTTTTCACTCATGGCTGTTCCTCTACCACTTGAGCCACAGTTGCACATTTGGCTTCTTGCTGGTTACTTATAGATGGTCTCTCAGATTTGTCTACTGAGGCTGGCTTCAAACCATAATAATTACATGTCAGCATCCTGAGTAGCTAGGATGACAGGCATAAACCACCAGTGCCCCACCTCAAAATGGTTTCTAAATCACAGCAATTATGGAACAATTTTTTTTAGGGCAGGATGTTTCAAGTAAGTGATAGTCATGACTCATCTTAAAAATGGAAATAAAAATGATGCAGAGCTCCAATGTCTTTGATATATCTACTCTCTGCTAGAAAATAGGTTAGCGTTCATTGTACACTAAATAAAATTTGGTCCAAATTAAGTACAATATTCATAATTCCTTATTTGAAACTCAATTGCTACTTTTTTAAAAAAGAAAAAAATTAAAATCTATAATATTATTCCTTGTCTAAAGTTCACTCTCAACTAAAGGGATTTACAGGGTTTCACCCAAATTTCCCCAGGCATTCTTATCATTATATATTTACACAAGAGGCTTTAATTTGAAGTTACAACTGGCAACCTCAAAATATATAAACTAGGAATTTCCATAACGGAATTTTAGACTTGGGAGTTGTTGCCTCAAAGTACTAAAAGAACAAAGGAGAAAATCACTTATCTAAGCAAGTCAAAGTAATAAAATACACTTCTCATTTAAGACAATTCACTTGAAGATCAAAATAACCAATACCTTTACCCCCCCAAAAATGAGAAAGAACCAGTCTTGAGCTTTCAAAGGGGAAACAATGACTCTAAGAGTATACAAAGATCTGATGCTTTCTGCCAGTGATATGCTATCATTACAGAGTCCTAATGCTAAAAAAAAAAAAGCAAACAGATGAGTGAGTAGTCCAAATAGACCTGCTCACATTTCAAATTCTGCATTTACAGTGGGACATGACTGAACAGGTAAGACACAGACTCCCCATTGTGTGTCCTTCGGATGGCCTCGGCCAGAATCATCGAAATGTCAATCACCTGAATGCCAAAGAGAAAACAGTAGAGAAATGTTAGTTCTACTGTCTTAAAGACTGAAAAACAAGAAAGACTGAGAATGACTTATTCAACATGAATAACTGTCAAACCTGCCATCCCTGTGTCTCTAGGGAGAACAGAGAGATTAGGGGTCTAACTTCCCATCAAAACCTGCTAAAACCATATGGGTTCCAGAGGAAGGTTTTTGGGTTCAGATGCCTGAAGTCTTTCAGTGCTACTGTGAATGGGAGACATACTTTCCTTGGGACAGTCTACCTGGGCATTAGAAGGTTGTTTATTGCTCTCTCATTATTTCAGAAAAGTCAACTACTATATCCATTTAAGATCACATTTGTGATCATCTAATCCAGGGATCATCAAAGTGCTCTTTCAGAAAGTCAACCTTGTTGGCTTTGTAGGTGTGATGTTACTTACAGATGTTCAACTTCCCCACTGCAGCAGAAAGCAGTCACAGGCACATATGAATGAATGGCTGTGCCTGTGTACCAATAAAACTGTTTATAAGTATAGATGGTAGATTTGGCCTCTGGGCCATAGTTCATCATCTCTCAAGCTAAAATATTGTTCATCACTCAAAAGGAACCACTAGCTTAACCATTTTTGAACTTAGCTCCTTTCTCTAATGGATACAAATCCATTAGAGGGTCACCGTGTCCCACTTGCCTGCTCTACTAGGGGAACTAAGGCTTGGGAATGAAATGACTGGCCACGGTTCACTGAAACATTGAGGCAAAACTCTTCTTCAGGCCAGTTGGTGTCAGGTGGTCAGCACTCTCTCTCTGGTGGTCTGTGAGAACCCAGGTGGGAGGAGTATGAATGAGTGGAGTTCTGGAGATCCTCAGTACACTACCCTCCTATTTTAAGTTGTGCTAATATAGAGAGAAAACCTAAAACTTGCCATCTTAAACCACTTGGAAGCATATAATTGAATAGTATTAATTACATGCCCAATGTTGTGTAAATATCACCATCACTTATTTCCAAAACATTTTTTATCATCCCAAATAAAAACTGTATATTCTTTCAACATGAACTCCCCATTCCTCCCTCGTCTGTTCACTGGTAACCACAATTATGCTTTTGCTCTCCATCTACTCCTAATCTATGTAATTCATTCAAATCCAATCATATAATATTCCTGTTTCTGTGATTGGCATATTTCACTTAGCATGTTTTCAAGATTTACCCATATTGTAGCATATGTCAGGATTCCTTTCTTCTTTTTTTGGGGGGTGGGGTCCGGTCGTGGGGCCTGAACTCTGGGCTTGGGCGCTGTCCCTCAGCTCAAGGCTAGCACTCTACCACTTGAGCCACAGTGCCACTTCTGGCTTTTTTTCTTTTTGCTTATGTGGTGCTGAGGAATAGAACCCAGGGCCTCAGGCATGCAAGGCAAGCACTCTACCACAGAGCCACCTTCTAAGCCCTCCTTTCTTCTTAAAATCTGACTATGACCCCAGTATAACAATAGACCACACTTTGGTTAACTATGCATACACTGATGGACATTTGGGTGTTACTACTTTGGGCTATTATGATTGCTATTGCTACAGTTAGTTGTGTGTAAGTTTTTGTTTTAGCATGTTTCCAAATTTTTTGTTGGAGGGAACACACCTAGAAGGGCATTACTGGGTCATAGAGAAATTCCATGCTTAATCTGGGTACACTTATTTCTTACTGTCTTTCCACTGTGATTTTATTAGTTTACCTTTTCTAACTAGTAAACATTGCCCTCTACTGATCCTGGCACTTCTCAGGGACCTGATAGGATTCCTGTGGTGATGAGACACTGCAGCCTTAGCCAGCACACACACAGAAAGCTGGATGCTGGATTTTGCTTGTAGGGATGTGAAATAGGTGCCTTGCAGCTTGGTTCTCCCTGGGGTATAGATAGTACCTGAATCTTGGAGCAGTGTTTCATCTTGTCTTCTTGTGGGATTGTGTTGGTGACAACAACAGCTTCAAAGGCAGCATTATTAATTCTGGAAATGGCTGGCCCAGAGAAAATCCCATGGGTAAGAATCGCATAAACTTTGGTGGCTCCGGCTGAGAGTAGCCTATAAAATAGAAGATAAAAATTAACCAGGTATGGAAACACACGGCCGTGATGTCACCACTGGGGAGAATAAGAACGGAAGATCTTGAGTGTGAGGGCAGTCTGAGCTACATAATGAAGCCCTGTCAAAAACAAACAGCTTATCAGATTGTCTCCTTAGAAAGCTGAGATCTGAGAGACAAATCCTCAAGACTCTTATCACCAATTAACCAGCAAGAAGCTAGAAGTCCAGGCATGTTTCAAGTGGTAGAGAACTAGCCTAGGGGGTAAAAAAGTCAAGTGAGAGTGAAGTCCTGAGTTCAAGCACCCATCCCAGCATGCACATGAAAATTAAGTCTATATAAATATTTTTGAAATACTCGCCTTGAGTATCAGTGTTGAAAGTAAAAAGTAAATTCTATGAAGAAGATGAGACAAATTCCACTTATATTTATTAGCCAAACCAGGAACTTTTAAGGCCTGTGTAAAAAAAATACTACTCTACTAAATCAGGAATTATCAACGTTAGCATTTGGGCTCAGACAGTTCTTTAGTCTGGAGTTGTTCTGTGCATTATAGGAAAAATTAGCAGCATCCCTGGCTTCCACCTACCAGCAATACTCCTCCCCTCTTGTTGTGATGACCAAAGATGTCTGTAAACATTGCCAGATGTCACCTGCAGAGCAAAACTGTGCCCCAGTTTGTAAACTACTGGCTAAGCAAATAGAACCAAAATAGGTCATTTTGATGTGTGATCTACATAGAAAGTTTATTAGGAGATATCTGGTGCATCTCAAATGGGAATGGCCATATCTGGAAGGGCTCCTTAGCTGTGTGTGGCTCAGGGAGGCTCCTACCAAGGATGTCAGATCTTTCTAGCATCTGGAAAGCCACATGGGCAAAGGCTAAGCCATAAGAAGCAAGGGGCCCAGCAACACTCCACCCCCAGACTGTCTTCCCTTCTGGGCTCAGTTTCTGGAACAGTACTTCCTTTGACTGTTTGAAAAATATACTGGAAGTCCAATTTGGAAAATGAAAAGGCCAATGGTTCCTTTCCTACCATGAAAAGAATGCCAAAAATAAATGCATCTAGAAGAATTAGGGAAAGCAAGCCTGATTTTGAAAAACGGATACTTTGTCTTTCTTAAGGACATGCTTTCCTGAACCATCTCACATACTTATCTGCAGCATGGCAGATGGTGCCACACGTATCAGCCATGTCATCCACCAGAATGGCCACGCGGTCCTTCACGTCACCCACCAGAACCATCCGGTCCACTTCATTTGCTTTCTTCCTCTCTTTGTGGATCAGAGCAAATTCCACATTCAGCCTGTCAGCAATAGAAGTGACCCTGAGGACAGATGCAAATGAGCATGTTAAAACAGGTCTTTAAGGGTCTGGAGAATAGCTAGCATGCTTGAGGTCCTGGGCTCCATCCCCAGCACTGCCAAAACAATGGGCTGGGAAGGTGGCTCAGTGGTAGAGTGCTTGCCTTGCATGCATGAGGCCCTGGGTTGGATTCCTCAGCACCACAGAAGCAGAAAAAGCTGGAAGTGGCGCTGTGGCTCAAGTGGTAGAGCAGTAGCCTTGAGCTGAAGAGCTGAGGGACAGCACCCAGGCCCAAGTTCAGGCCCCAAGACCAGGAAAAAACAAACAAACAAAAAAAGGAAGTCTAAAAGCCAAGCCCAGATGGCTCACATCTGTCATCTGAACTACTCAGGAGGCTCAGTTCTGAGGAACACAGTTTGAAACCAGCCCAGACAGGAAAACCACCAAAGAGCCAGAAGTGGCGCTGTGACTCAAGTAGTAGAGCACTAGCCTTGGGCAAAAAAAAACCCTCAGGGACAGCACCCAAGCCCTGAGTTGAAGCCCCAGGACCAGCACAAAAAAGTAGTTTAGGAATGTAACAAAAAAAATAGCACTTAAGATAATAAAAAGAATTAGAATTCACGTATTATAAGCCAGGCATGATCAGGGGCCCACACTAAGTGAGCCATTATTAGAAAGGTGGTAGGTGACAGACTGTCTTTATAATGGATAAAGCTGCTAGATAAGATGTTGACATTTGATTTATTTGTATTTGGGATATTTTTTAAAAATCATAGGTACAACTGAAAGCAAGTTACACAGTACCTACCACTGGGCTGCTTTGTGGAACAGATGATTGGGACAAAAGTTCCAGTTAAGGATGTCATGTCATAAGTAAGCATGTAAGAAGGAGCTCCATTGAACTAGAGGCTCAAGGAGAATGAAAACTCTGAGTCTGTTTCCTTTGCCCAAAATTGGAGGTATGGTTCACATGGTAACTCTACCAGCCTTAAGCCAGGCTTAAGCAAAACAGCTAAGCAAGAGCACAAGGCCCTGAGTTCAAGCCCTACTCTTGGCATAAAATATGCCAGTCACTGTGTCATCCTCTGATGACAACGAAGAGTAGAGTTGGACTGTGCCAGGATCAAGCCTGGCATGGCAGCATGAAGCCGTACCTGTCCTAATCTTAAGTACTTCAAACATAGCAGTTTTGAAAACTGGTAAAATCCTAATGTGTGTTGGTATGGGGGCTTGAACTCAGTGCCTTGCACACTCTCACTTGGCTTTTTTGTTTTGGGGTTGTTTGTTTGTTTTGGCTGGTGTTCTACCATTTGAGCCTCGTCTCTACTTCTGGCTTTCTGGTGGTTAACGGGAAATAAGAGTCTCATAGTCTTTCCTGCTTGTGCTGGCTTCCAATTGAGATCCTCAAGCCTCTTTAGGATTACAGGTGTGAGCCACTGGGGCCCAGCTTAGATAATCTCTTAAACTACTTAAAGTAGTATACATTTAATGGCACTAAGTACATTCACGATGAATACAGCTGTTACCTCTATCTAGTGCCAGAAGGAAAATTTCCATACTATCCAGCAGTCAATCCCCATTCCTTGACTGGCAGGCCTCGTCAAACACTATCTCTATATTTTTAACTGGTCTACATTTCTCATTTCTCATATAAATGCAATTATACTATATATGCGGCCTTCTCACTCTGGCTTCTTTACACGTTTCATCCATGTTGTAGCATATATTGGTACTTGATTTTTTTTTATGGCTGAGTAATCGTCCATTGAATGGACATAGCACATTAATTTACCTACTCGTCTGTGGTTGGATACCTGGGTTGATCTCTGTAATTTGGATAAGGGGAACATTGCTGTTGCAAACATTAGCACACACACATCTGAGTCTCTTTTTTTTTTAAGTTTTGGGCATTTACATTACAGTAGAATGCTGAAACCTTTGGAACTCAGCCTATATCTTCAAGCTAGCCTCTTTTCAATGCTGCAAAAGAATGTAGCAACCAGTCCCAAGCCTTAATAACCCTCTACGTTAGAATTACCAAGGCTGACTTCTATCTCAAGCAACCGATAGATAAATGAGGTAGGTGTAAGGGAAGGCTACTCTTACTCGACATGGCTACATCCCTAGACCCAGATGACTTTTGGAGTTCTAGACTACACTCTTGTTAACTAGGCAGCCTGATTTCCTTTGCCAGTGAAACAACTACAATGCTAGATGACACTGAAATCCAAGGCAACTACTTTTACAAATCCATTGCCAAGCAGAGATGGCAGCAGAAATCATCAGTGGGAGCGAAGGCAGAAGTAGGTCACCCTGAGAAGCCAGCAGACAGCAGTGTGCTTGCTCTGAGGGCTTCTCTGAAGTCCTAATAATCAGGGTTCAGTTTTGCTGACAAGGGATGAGAGATCAAGTCTGGAGCCAGACTGAATGGAGGGTGTAAACAAGAAACCCTGACATAGCACAAGGCCACTAGAGGGCCTTCCATCAGAGTTGGAAGGAGTGAAAAACAAACCTGCTGCCTAGGAAGAATGATCACTGTCTCTGACTCAATGCTGAGTGAAGAAGGTTAGTTCTTTGCAGAATTCAAAACCATATCTTGATGCTTCCTACAGGCTATCCGGTTCAAGCCCCATGACCAACCAAAAAAAAATATATATGTATGACTAAAGGCTGTCCAAATTCCTATTTTGAATACTATGAAAACCCTGAAGAGCTTATTTAATGGAGGAGCCCCATCTCCTCAGTCTGAGTGTTTAATTTGAAGTGAAACTGTGGAAAGTTTGAGGGTGATGCTACAAGGTAGTTGGCAACAATAAAAGCAAATACTCTTGGAAAGAGGAGAAATGTCTAAGGAAAATAAGAGATTCACAGAATAGTTACAAACCAAGTCAGGAGAAACATCTGTAGCCAAATCATAAGATGCTACTATGACATACTAGCATTAGTTGAAAGGCAACATAAAGTTATTGCTTTGTTTTGTTATTGTTGTTGTTGTTTTTGTTGGTTGTGGGACTTGAACTCAGGGCCCCCATGGGCCCTGTCCCTGAGCTCTTTTGCTCAAGGCTAGCATGCTACCAATTTGAGCCACAGTTCCACTCCCAGTGTTCTGGTGGTTAACTGGAGATAAGAGTCTCATGGGAACTTTTCTGCCCTGGTTGGCTTTGAACTTCAATCCTCAGATCTCAGCCTCCTGAGTAGCTAGGATTATAGGCATGAACCTATAAAGAAATAAATTATACGCTTAGATAAGAATAAAAAAGATGACAAAGACTATCCAGGCAAAGTAATAAAAACAAAGAAAAAGTTTGAGAAATAGAAAATAATCAGACATTTCTTACTCAATAGGTAAAGGACTATAGAGACAACACTCAAAGAGACAATGACTGAGACATCAGTCATCACCCAAAGACATCAGTCTTCAGATCCAAGAAAAGCTGAGCAAAAGGACTGATCAATACATGGACAACTCTGCAAAATAAATTCTAATCTGTGAAGAAGAAACAAAAGCTGTACTACATAAACAGTTTGAAAGCACTTGAGGTGGTGCTTACAAATCCAAATAGGTCAGTAGTCATAGCAGAAAAAGGAAAAAACTTCCCAATAAAGTAGAGACTGTTAGTCATAAGATACCAATTTTAGATTTTTTTCTAATGTCTTTGGAAGGAAAAGGAAAAGTGTTACTATAATGAAGTCTATGTTTGTTTTCCTTTGAAAACATCATCCTCACATAGCAACCAAACCCACAGTAACCTGAGCAGACAGCCTTCATTTCTAAAACCAACCTGCCAACTTTCCTCACTTAAGGATTTAATGGAGAGAAGAAAAATGTAATTTGAAGGCAGACAAAACCCTTGCCCCATAATCACCTCCAAATATATACTACTGTACATGCCAATTTCACGAGCCAAGCCACTTGAAATGAATTAAGTAAAACTCATTTATCAGAATATAGGCTGGTGTTTCTCCCAATACAAGGTACCCGAACACCTTGTGCAAAATGGAAATACACAATAATTTTGGTTTTTTGGTTATTTGATAGGGAGCAGAAAGGCCCTGGTCCATGGTTTTGTGTGGGAAAACATTGCCATTTGCACCTAGAGCTCTAAGCCTGTGAAGCCTAGGCTCAGCCTGATTTTCCTCTCTACTAGGTGACTTCTGTCCTCACAAGATGGTTACCTAAAGATAGCCAGGAAGGCATGGAAGCCTGTCTGGAAAAAAGGTCAGCTCTATAGTTCATGATAAAGTAGCCTAAGATCCCTGCCAAAAGCCCCCTGGGATGCTGGACCATTATCATTCCTTGTAAAAGCTACAATGAACTCTTTTTTTCCCATGTATACAATGAGTACATAATACATGTTCCTGATATGTTAAACATATCATATTGAAATCTTAGGTGGAAAGAGCTAGAAGAAAAATCAGATAGATAGATAACAATATATTTACATTTTTCTGGTGTGTGTGTGTGTGTGTGTGTGTGTGTGTGTGTGTGTGTATGTGTGTGTGGTGTGTGTCTGTGTTCATGTGTATGTAAGCATGACCAGGAGAGACAGATATGTAATATACTAAATTATACGTACTGGTTTCACTGGTAAAGATAGAAGGTATTACATGTTGACTAATTTTCTAAATGTTTTTATGTAGACCACATCCAAAGATGCCATGATCAGAAAAGAAAGATAAATCCAAATCACGTGGTTTCATCCATTTCCCATATCACTTTTAGGTTGCATTTATCTTAACAATGGTAGGACTTTTCCTTTCAACCCAAATCCAGTATCAAAGACTACTCAAGAGTGACCTCCTGTGGCAATGTTAAGTTTTACCCACAATGAATCACATTTCCATGCTTTTTTCTAAAGCAACCAGGCCTGATTTCTCAAATACTTATTTTCTTGGGTGAACATGACTGAATTAAGCAAAGGTGGTAATGGTAATGTCCACTGCATGTATCATATACTAATTTTGAGGCTGTTAGTTGGATGGGACTGTTAGTTGGAGAACAAACTGCTCTAGAACATAAGGAGGATAATGACATATAGCGGGCATTTGGAGAAAGGAGGTAACAAAGATTCCTAAATGTAGGTCATAAAATGTTGGCCTTTCCTGGCCAAAGAATCAGAGTGGCTGAGCAGGACTGCACTGAATATGTCTGAGTAAAATACCATCTCAAACCTGGCCATTTACTCTATATTTGCCCCAAAGCAGGACTTAGTAAGTACACAGAAAAATAAAGTATATAATAAAAGGTGTTTCACATCAATAGAGAAAAGGGGAAACGTGTGTGTGTGCACACGCGTGCGTGTGTGCACATGTGTGCGCACACATCAGTGCTGGAGCTTGAACTCAGGGCCTGAACGCTGTCCCTCAGCTTTTTCTGCTCAAGGGGCACCCTACCACTTGAGCCACAGCTCTACTTTCGGCTTCCTTTTTCTTTTTGATGGTTATTTGGAGATAAGAGACTCAGAGTTTACTGCCTGGGCTGGCTTTGAACTGTGGTCCTCAGATCTCAGCCTCCTGAGTATTAAAGAAAGTAAAGAAAGTAAGTCCTGCAAGTATATTGTTGCAGGACTGTACAAGTTGCAATAGCTGTAAGTGGGTTGAAGGAAACTGACCATAGGAGTTATGACATATACACACATAGCTATCAAAATCGATCAAGCCAATCTGATACATAACTGGAATTATTGGTACTATAGAGCAAGTATGCTTTTTTTTTTTTAAAAAAAAAGCTCAGTGAAGAAGTATAAATAGAAAAATTCCCACTTGTATTTGGGAACACTACCATGGGAGAGAACAAAGAGAGGTTAGTCACCTTTAATACTGTTTCAATTTTGGCAAACAGCATGCATGGTTACTTTTTGGCCATATATATAAAAATAGGGCTGGGATAGGAAAAGACACAAAAAAGTCTGTTATTATTCTCTGTGCTTAACCTCTATTGAAGTTACATTTTCAAATTTTAAAAAATGGATAGGGAAAATTCTGGAAATACAACTGCATAAAGACAGAAAGAGTTAAGTACAACCAGAGGCTGGGGCAGGAGGTACAGGAACAGCGCTCATGGGCACAGGGTTTGTTTCCTTTTAGTGTGATCAAATGTTCAGTTGTTCAAAATGGTAATGGCTTCATAAATCTGTGAAAATACTATGAAAAATCCCACTGAATATTTCAATGAGGGAACTGTAGGTTCCTGGATCACAAGGTGACATATTGTTGTTATACGCCAAGGGCATCTAATGCTCCTAGACCCCTTAGCCAACGTCTTTGCCTTGAATCAGCAAATTTGCTATATTCCAATACATATTCTACCATGTGACTTCAGTAAGTTTCCTATGTCAATTGCAAGCATTTCCAGTGGAAATGACTCTATAAAGCAGCTCACATTCTGAAGCAGATGACAACTTGGCATGACTCAACTGCTTTCTCTGTGGTAGCTAATGGCAAGCCTGTGTAATAAGTATCTCTCCTCCACCTCTGCCTGTCTAGGCCTTTGCAAGCTGTCTGCTGCTTTTATATATTTGTGTTTCCTTCCTGTGCACAGCCACTTCCTACAGCTGCCAGAGGCTCATTACCAGCTGTAAGGCCCATTTCTTTCTCCTTGTCTGTGATAGGAACCTGAGCAGCCATTGGATGGCAGCTGAATACAACTATGCTCTTCCCAGAATCTGAACCAAAATTTCCTTGCATGGCCACTGTGACTGCTTTCTGGACACTCTTACACTTTATTTTTTGCCATTACTGGGACTTGAACTCAGGGCCTTAAGTGCTCTTGCTTGGCTTTTCTCCCTCCCTCCCTCCCTCCCTCCCTTCCTCCCCCTCTTCCTTCCTTCCCTCCCCCCCTTTCATCTTATAGTTTGCTCAAGGCTGGCATTCTACTACTTGAACCATACCTCCATTTCAAGGTTTTGTCAGCTTAATTGGAGATAAGAAATTCATTTCCTACCCAAGCTCTCTTTGGACCACGATCTTCTTGAGTAGTGGGGATTACAGGCATGAACTTCCAGCACCTGGGTCACTCCTAAGCTTTTAATTGTGATTCTAGGTTCCTATCTTGGCTCCAGGTGGATGAGGATACAAATAAGGGATAGGCTTCTATATATGCTTTTTATGCACATATCTTTGGGTGGTTCATGGGATTGAACTCAAGGTCGTTGCACCTGCTAAGCAAATGCTCTCCCACTGTGCTATACCTCACAGCTTCTGCGTTTCAAGAATGTCATTCAAGTTGATAGTCTCTCCCAACTCCCGCTGCACATCAATAACACACATTTATGAACTTCTCTCCTTTAGCACTAAGCTAGTGGCTAGTGATCTATCTTATCTCTCCTTTTTGTATGATGGCTGCCACCTGGGCAGTAAGCCACAATCCCACTTTCATTTTCTTCCCCAGTCACAGCTACCAACTTCTGCAAGGTTCTGAGTTACCAGCCTTGGCTTGGGGGAGGTGTTATGTATCCGATCATTATTCTGGGCTTGGATTCTCAACATCCTGTGCTCTACTGGCACAGGATGAAAGACTCCTTGGGTCTCTGTAAGCCTTGTAGATTTGCTATCAGGACCACTTTCCTAGGTGAGCCAGCATGGCTGCATTACAGAGCTGTTTGTATCATGTCAGTTTCTGGCTCTCTTTGTTTTTAGTTGTCTTTCAGATATGCTCATTTGACACACTAGGACTTGGCTTCTCATCCTAAAGTATTGGCTGGCTAAATGCCACCTTGTCTGTACACACTGGGTCCAGGTAGACTAGGCCCTCTGGGCTTGCTGGCTCATCAGGCACTCAGTCATGTTCAGCAGGGAGGGCTGTGGAAGTCTTCCTCCGCAGTGACTCAACAGTGTGGGACCAATTCTCACATTAATTTTCACAGTCCAGGGACTGTGTGCCCCAGGGAAGACTGTATATTCCCCACACAGCTGCCCACAGCACATGCTCATGGTTTGATTTCTCATGGGTGACTATTTTTTTTATCTCCCCATCAAAAGTTCAGCCAGCTGGCTAGAGGCATGGCTTTTAGCCTCTATCTTCCTGAAGCCCAAGCTGCCAACAACTTTCTGGATTTGAATTCCCTTCCCCCAGGCCATCAGAGCACATTTTTCAGCCCTTCTTTATTTCTTGACTTTAGATATTTCTATTTCTTGGTGTTCTACACACACAGATTCCTTTTTATCAAATTCTATTCTATTGTGGCTAACATTTTGAAGTTGTTATAATAGCTAGCATTAATTAACTGGACCAATAAATTGTATTATTAATGAAAAACATTTTCTCATTAAGCTCATTACTTTTATCTGATGATTATAAATATAAATACACAGTGTGTGTGGGGGGGGTTACTACTATGAATGATAAAATGTTGACAAAGAGTAGGTTTCCATCTAAAAGTGAAGCCTCTGGTCTACTTACTTGCTCATTTGCAAAATAGTGTTAGCATTTTTTTGAGGCAGGGTCTCACTACACAGTCCAGGCTGACCTCAAACTTGTGAAGCTTCGGCTTTCATTTCCTAAGCTCTGAGATGATAACGGGCACCACCATACTCTGCTTAAAGTATTAGGTGATTTAAAGCAATTTCCCTGAGGTTGGAGGTTAGCTCAGTAGTAGAGTACTTACTTAACATGTGTGAGGGTCTGGAGTGTCAAAGGAAAAAAAGAAGGAAGGAAGGAAGGAAGGAAGGACGGAGGGAGGGAGAAAAGACAATAGAAGAGAAAAGCATGATTTCTTGTCTAATACATAGGAAATACAGAAAGGAAAACTCAGAGGGGGAAAAAATAAAAGTCTGCAGAGTGTAGCTTGCATAATACCTTTTGGCTCCCCCTGCATCGGGGGAAACAATGATACAGTTCCTCCACTCGGATATATTCTCCCGAATCCACTGCAGGACTGCTGGTTCCGCATATAAATTATCCACAGGAATATCAAAGAATCCCTAAGGGAAGCAAAGTGGGTCATAATTACAAGGCTTCGCTTTTTTCAAAAAGATGCTTACTTTCACTAAGTAACATGAATTACTGTATTCAAAAGAAGCCTGCACACAATACTCTCCTCTTTTGTACATTTTCACAGAATTAAATCAAGACAGATAGCTGGGCACCTTTCATTCCATTTGGTCTTTAGGTAGTCTATCATTACTGTCATCACTCATGATGGCCTGGTCTTTGGGGAGAAAACAGCTCTACAAAGGCAGTGGGGAAAGAGGGTTGTTGGTTTTCATGCCTATTACAAACCAAATGTTTATATTCATTATAATTAATGAAGCAGGCACCGTTAATATGGTCTGTTTTAGAGGCAAACACACCAAATTGTAAAGAGATTTTAAATATGGCTGAGTACTGCTGCTCATGCCTATAATCCTAGCCTCTCAGGAGGCTGAGATGACAATTTGAAGCCAGCCCAGGTAGACAAATCCAAAAGAAAAAGTGCATTAAACCTCTATCATTCTAATCATTTTCCATAAGTTTTAGTAGAATCATATAGTCTCTAGTACCAAGAATCGTATAGTCTCTAGTATCTAATCTTCTAAAATGGACTGGAGGATAAGTGGTGTGAGACAGGGGGTATCAACATCCATTCCTAGTTTAGTGAAGACAAAAACTTCATGCTACCTCCTTTTAAAATGATTTAAGTTGACAGAGCATTAGGACCTAACTATTGTCAGAAAGAAATGGCTGGTACCTGTATCTGAGAGGCATGTAAGTCCATGGTGATGATATGATCAGCTCCAGCAACCGAGAGCATGTTGGCCACAAGCTTTGCAGAAATTGGAGCACGGCTCTGAAATAAACAGACATTTGATAATAGCCAATAGACCACTGGGCATGGTGGCTCACACCTGTAGTCCTAGCTACTCAGGAGGCTGAGATCTGAGGATCATGGTTCAAAGCCAGCCCAGGCAGGAAAGGCCTTGAGACTCTTCTCCCCAATAAACCACTCAGAAAACCAGAAGAGTGCTGTGGCTCTTGTCTTGAGCTGAAGAGCTGAGGGACAGTGCCTAGGCCCAGAGTTCAAGCACCACAACTGAAAAAAATAGGGAATAGACCACCTCATACCAAGAAAGACATGAGAAAAGGAATCATACACAGCATAGACAAAGTGGAATCAGGAAAACGACATGCATTGTCACAACACAAGGTGTATTCATTCCATTTTCATCATCAAATACACACTGTTGATGCAGACTAATGGGAATCAGTGTGTTTGATACTTGGTCTAGATTACAAATATCCAAGAAACAGTGAAGCAGGTAGACTGTACATGTAATGTTGCCATTTATATAGTTCAAATGATAAAAACTGGGTATAGAGATTTCCATGCTTTGGCTGGCTTTGCCTTAAAGATGATTTTTTTCAACCAGCAAAAGCAAGGAGCATTGTTCTAGAAGGACAGAGAGGCACACGTGGGCTTACTAAAGACAAGACATTATCACAGAGTCAGCCACGGACTGAAAGAATCCAGCTATTAAAGAAGCATTGTGTACTGATAGCTGAAGCTAATGTCATTACAAATTAAACAAAAACCAGGTGGAAGAAAGAACACGCTCAGGCAGCTGCTAATTTAATATGGAGAGAAATAAACATATTATCACTTATTGACATTATGTTCCTTCGTACAGTTACCTAACAGTTTTTATTACATTAGTTTCCACATCATAAATTGGGAACAATGAAACTGTCCACATCAAAAAGATCCCAGAGACTATACAGATATCATTAGATGGGATCTAAGAATTCTGTCATTTTCTATAAATAACAGGGTTCTTATACATGAGCCACCAGAAAGAAAAGGAAATAGAAGCTTAGAAGATTTCATTCAAAATAGTAACAAATCAATGATTCCATTAAAGCCACATGCACACATATAAACACAAGGGAAAGAAATCAAAATGTCCACAGGTTTTATTTTCTCTAACACATTAATTCTGTTTTTTAAATTATATATATATAAAAAAATTATATATACAACTTTAAAAGTATGTACCTACATATAGCTCTTTAAAATACAAAGAAAAGGATGATACAGAAACTCTCCAAAAATATTAATGGGCTGGGAATGTGGCTTAGTGGTAGAGTGCTTGCCTAGCATCCATGAAGCCCTGGGTTCAATTCCTCAGTACCACATACACAGAAAAAGCCAGAAGTGGCACTGTACCTCAAGTGGTAGAGCACTAGCCTTGAGCAAAAGCATCTCAGGGACAGTGCCTAGGCCCTGAGTTCAAGCCCCAGGATTGGCAAAACAAAAAAATGTTAACAGTATGTTTTCCTAGAAACAGACTTTGGAGAAAGTTTCTTTTTTCTTTCCTTTAATTTTTAAAAAATCTGCTCTAGTATCTATATACTATAATTCATGTTTTCATTGCTGACCTCCCCTATGTTATGATCTATGAAACCATTTTCAGCAGCATTTTTTCAGCTTTGATATCTCAAATCCTCTAGTCAGTTCAGCTGGGGCCTACTCAGAGCAGTTCCTCCCCCAGGCTCCACATTGGTGGCTCAGGCCACAGCTACCTGGTAGGCTAAGAATGGTAGCAAAATGTTCCAAGGCCAGCCTGGGTAGAAAAGTTGTGAGACTGTGTTTCTCAACACAAAGCTGGACACAGTAACATTTTCTTGTTATCCTAGCTACATGGGAGGTTGGCAGTAAGAGGATTGTGGTTTGAGGCCAGGTTGTGTAGAAAGTGCAAAAGTTTACAACTCAGGGTTGGCAAAGTGGCTCAGTGGTAGAGTGTTTGCCTTGCATGCATGAAGCCCTGGGTTGGATTCCTCAGCACCACATAAGCAGAAAAAGCCAGAAGTGGTGCTGTGGCTCAAGTGATAGAACACTAGCCTTGAGCTAAAGAGCTGAGGGACAGCGCCCAGGCCTAGAGTTCAAGCCCCATGACCGGCAAAAAACCAAAAAGTTCACAACTCATGGCAGGCTATGGTGGCATCCACTGCCTAAAAGATGGGCTGCAGGAAGGCACAGTGGCTCACAATAAGCTTAAGTCTTCCCAAAATATACACTGGGCAAATGTTTTATAAATCAGATTGAAAACATCAGAAAGTCTCTGCTTATTTTCAAGTCGAATTCAGTGCTTCAAATACCATCCTGCTAAATGAACATTTCAGACTTAAAAAAAATTACAAGGTTGTGGAGATTAGTGTTCCCTACAAAATGAAAAAGAGGCAATATTTGTATCACTGAAACAAGAACATGGCCTTAAAAATGTTCTGATAAAAGAAAAGAAACATCCCAAGCTGAAAGTCCTTCATCCCTATCTTCCGATAGAGATGTATTCTTTATCTCACACACAGCCCTGTTCTCACAGGGGAGGGAACTGGCAGTTACACTGCGCCTCCTCTCCTATGGCATGGACCAGCTGACTATATGGCTTGTGAGTCAAATCTGCCCATGGCCTGTTTTTGTTCAACTAAATTGCTAAGGATGGTTTCTCCAGTTAGATGAGATTGAACTAAAAGAAGAATATTCTTTGACATTTGGTGGGTACATAAAATTCCTAGTTCAGTGTGTATAAATAAAGTTTTATTGCAACACAATCACACCAGTTCTGTTACACATTGGCTATGGCAGCTTCTACAATAAAAGGGAGATGTGAAGCTAGAGCAATAGATTGTCCAATAGGCTGCAAATTCCAAGTATCTGACATATACCTCCTTTGATAAAGGTTGTCCCTTAGTGTATTACAGGCCATGTACTTCATAAGTAGTAGCTAATAGTCTCAAGTTATAGACAAGGAAAATAAAGTTAAAAAGTTTAAGTAACTAACAAAGAACAAAGAGCAAATAAGTGCTGGACTTTAAATCTGAACCCATTTCATACCAGACCTCAGACCACTTTGGTACCTTTTCTTTTATTTTGCTGGTCCTGGGTAGGACTAGAACTCAGGGCCCGGGTGCTGTCTCTGAGGCTCTTTGTGCTCAAGGCTAGAGAGCTACCACTTGAGCCACAGCACCACGTCTGGCTTTTTCTGAGAAGTTCGCTGGAGATAATAGACCCATGAGCTTTCCTGCCCGGGCTGGTTTTGAACCACGATCCTCATATCTCAGCTTCCTGAGTAGCTAGGATTACAGCTGTGAGCCACCAGTGACTGTGCTTGAAACAAGATTTGAAGATGGTTAAAGGTCACAAGATTTTTCTGGAATTCTTTGTAGGTGCTTCTAAGGAGAGCAATTTCAAAGAACTTCATTGCTTCATGAGATGTCATAGGCAAAGATTGCTACCGTTTTTAAGCCACTTGGCTTGTCAGAAACACTAGGAACTTAATAAACACACCTATGAGTCCTTCTCTTCAACTCATGTTCTCCAATAGCATGTGATTTGATTTCCTGAGCTGCCATATGAACTGTCTCTCAAACGTTATCCCATCTTTGACTCTGGGTGGTACATAATCAAAATGTTATCTCTTCCAGTAGCAGTTAAGTTGGGAAAACTCATGGAACATGTGTGCAATTTGGAAAAAACATCTAAATAGCTAATGATAATAAAACTGGTAAGCTGGCATTAGTGGCTCATGTCTATAATCCTAGCTACTCAGGAGGCTGAAATCTGGAGGATTGAGGTTTTAAAGCAGTGAAGGCAGACAAGTCCCTGAGACTCCTCCATCTGCTTTGGCAGGAGCAAAATGCTGCGCTGGAGGCATTACTCAAATGGTAGAGCACCAGCTGAGCAAGCATGAGGTTCCTGAGTTTAAGTCCTGGTACCAGCAAAACAAACAAACACAAAAAAACAACAAAAGGAAGGAAGGAAGGAAGGAAGGGAGGGGGGAGAGAGGGAGGGAGGGAGGGAGGGGGGAGGGAGGGAAAGAAGGAGAGAAGGAGGGAAGAAGAGAAATCTGGTAAATAGCTAGATTATGCAATTCTACAATTGGACAAAACCACTTGGGGCTTCAGAAATTTTTGGGCTTTTCTTGCTAGCACAGTGGATGGGGACAAGGCTGGCAATTAGAGATCATAAGCTTGAGGTAATCACACTTGATGCAATGCAAGAGACAAGGTACAGCAACACTAGTTTCCTTAGTACACAGATTCCATTATGAATAAAAATAAGAAACTAGTTAGAAACTACAACCTTGGACAAAAGAGGCAGCAGAGAATAGGATAAATGCCAAGAAATGCAGTGTCTGAATATTTCTGTCTGTTAAAGAGAAATTTAAAGCTACAAACTGCTCAATTGTGGAAAAAGGGAATAAGAGAATAAGAGAAAAAAATGTTCTGAAGAATATAAAATTAAGTATGTCAGGGCCAAACACAAAATGAAAAACCTATCAGAAATAAAAGAACTTGATCAAAATAATAGTCACACACTGTGAGAAGCTACAATTATCAAATATCTCTGGACCAAATACAAAGCCTAATAGAAAAAAATTGAATTAAAAGAAACAGTCAGAGCTGGGTATTGGTAGCTCATGCCTGTCATTCTAGCTACTCAGGTGGCTGAGATCTGAGGGTCACAGTTTGAAGCCAGCCTGGGCAGGAAAGTCAATGAGACTCTTATCTCCAATAAACTACTCAGAAAAAGCTAGAAGTGGCTCTGTGGCTCAAGTGGTAGACCACTAGCCTTGAGCACAAAGAGGCTCAGAGACAGCTCCCATGCCCTGAGTTCAAGCCACAGGACTGGGGGGAAAAAAGAAATAGTCACACAGTATGAAAATTTACTAAGTCCCTTTTCACATGAAAGAGAAAAAGTCTCCTTTATGACACAGACAAGAATGTGCACACTAAAATATCTTGGAAGAACACACAGGCAGAAGAGCTAAGTCACACATTACTGTTGGGATGAAATTTCCAAGTAACTAAAAATACCATCTAAAACTTGAGAATCTTGTCTAAAATAAAAGAAGCTGTATAAATAACAAGGGAGGACGTGGCTTCATAGCAGCTTAAGTTACTGACAGTGTGGGCTGCTCAAAAGTGACAGACACACCGATGGTATAGACATGGCTGGTGTCCTCAAAGGATCATGTGCTAGAAGCAGTGTGGAGGTGGTGAAACTTTACAAAGTTGGGCCTACATCCGGGCAAAAATTCACAAGACCCCAATCTTAACAGGCAGAGCTGGGCCTGGTGGTGCAAAACTGTCATCTCAGCTATATGGGAAGTATAAATAGGAGGACTGTGGTAGAGGCCAGAATAAATCAAGACCTTAATTCCTTTTATAACTTGTGCAGGAACATGACCCTACGCTCATCTTTTTATTTTTTTGTCCATTGTGGGCCTAGAACTCAGGGCCTACCACATTGAGCCACAGCACCATTTCTGGTTTTCTAGTGCTTAATTGGAGATTAAAAGTTTCATGGATTTTCCTACCTGGGCTGGCTTCAAATCATAATCCTTCTATCTCAGCCCCCTGTAGGCAGGATTGTAGGTATGAGCCACCAGAAACTGGCTCCCACATCTTGGTTTCAGACATTTGGCTTGTGAACTTGTGAAAAAATAAATTTCTGCTCTTTTAATCTACCAGGCTTAAGGTAACTTGTTTTAACTGTCCTAGCGAACAATCTCATTCCAATTCCTCTCAATCTCCAACTTCTTATGTATCTTGAAGGTTAAGACCAACTAAATGTTCTTCAACTTCTCCAGGAGACTTACAGATGCTCCTCTAATGCTAATGTTGGTAAAAGAATATTCAACCAATATTAACTCTTTTCTTATTATAAAGTTAAAAACAGGTTAACAAAGTGTATTTAATCAACCTTTTTTATTTTGGGAGACTCATAGGTTCACATATGGTTGTAGGTAATAACAGCAGAAATCCTATGGGTCATTCAGCCAGCATCTCAAACCTGTAGCATAATATCACAACTAGGATCCTGACACACATACAATCCTGTGATATACTTTGGATGTTTTCCAGTTTAAATTGGAAAGGGGTATGTGTGCGTGTATGTAATCTAATCCACCACCACAAATATGTACAGTATCATCATGCTCTGGATAATAATGGTATTTTGTTTGTTTTTGTTGCCAATCCTTGGGCTTGAACTCAGGGCCTGGACACTGTCCTTGAGCTTTTTTGCTCTAGGCTAGTGCTCTAGTATTTGAGTTACAACTCTACTCCTGGCTTTTTTGTGGTTAATTAGAGATAAGTGTTTTATGGATTTCCTACCCGGGCTGGCTTTGAACAGATATCCTCAGATCTCAGCCTCCTGAGCAGCTAGGATTACAGGCGTTAGCCACCGGCACCAAGCTAATAATTATATTTTAATACCTGAAAAAAATGTGCATCATCTATGAGAGGCAGAGATTGGGGGATCATAATTTGAGGTCAGCCTGGGCCAAAAAAATGTTTGTAAGACTTCATTTCAACCAGTGTCTGGGCATTGTTGACATGTGTCTATGAAATAAGCCATGTGGCAAAGCATGAAGAGGAAGATCACTGTCCATGCTGGCCCGAGCATAAAGCTAGAGAGCTTATTGTGAAAAATAACGAAAGCAAAAAGGATTAGCAGAGTGGTTCAAATGGTAGAGCACCTTCCTAGTTCAAATTCCAGTACCACCAAACAAATCAAAAGACCAAGAAAGCCAACACTTCCCTGATATTCTAATAAGGGTGGCATGTGAGGAGCTCTGGTGACCCAGAACAGGATTTTTGTTTTGTTTTGTTTTTCCCGGTCATAGGACTTGAACTCTGGGCCTAGGTGCTGTCCCTCAGCTCTCCAGCTCAAGGTGAGCGCTCTACCACTTGAGCTACAATGCCACTTCCTGCTTTCTGGTGGTTTATTGGAGATAAGAATCCCAAGCTAGGCTGGCTTTGAACCACAATCCTCAGATTTCAGCCTCCTGAGTAGCTAGGATTACAAGCATGAGCCACCAGTGCCTGGTGACCCAGAGCGTTTATAGGACAGGACACACCTCTCCTACCTTGTCCTTTTTGTCTTGCCGGGCATATGGGAAACATGGGATCACGGCGGTCACCCGGGAAGATGAGGCAATCTTGCACGCGTTGATCATGATAAGCAGTTCCATGAGGTTGTCGTTAATTTCTCCACAGCCACTCTGGATGATGTAGACATCTTCCCCTCTTACACTTTCACCGATCTCAACGCTAGAGATTAAAAATGGCATCATTAATACTAAGTAAATCTATCTGTGTCCCAAGGGCTCTTGGAGACTACACCAAGTTTGTGATGTACAAGGCCCAGCCCTAAGTCTGAGCATACAGTCACGTCATGATGGCAGTTTTCTAGAGGACATAAGAAACTCAGCAAAGGGAAAAAATGTGTGAGGGCAAGCTGGAGAAAACCAGAGCCTCCCTTTGTCTCCTCCAGATGAGTAACAGAAGTTGAACGCAATGCCTCCAGTAGTGAGCTGTGGCAACTCAAGCCCAGTGTTGCCCACTAAGACCCAGGGTTTGTCTTGAAAGCTGGTCACATGGGTAGCCTTTTGCCTAATGAGTATCAAAATCTCCCAATCTCAGGCAAGTATTCAGCATAGATTATATTATTCTGCAGTTGTTACTAGTTAATCTGCACTTGTAATCCCAGCTACAATTCCTGGTGGAGATTGGGCAGATCATGGTTCTAGGCTAGCCTGAGCAAAATGTTAGTAAGATACCATCTCAGCCAAAAGGCCGGATGTAGTCATGTGTGTTGGTAATTCCAACTATGTGGGAGATATAAGTAGGAGGATCAAGGGTGAAGGCTGGAGGTTGAAGGCTGGCCCCACTAAAGATCATGGACCCCATCTGAAAAATAACTAAGGCCAAAAAAGGCTGATGTGGTTCAAGTGGTAAGATACCTGCCTGGTTAGCATAAAGCTCTGAATTCAAACCCCAGTATTGGTGCATAGGCACAGACAGACAGACAGACAGATAGATACAGACAGACAGACAGACAGACAGACACACACACACACACACACACACACACACTTTACCAATGCTGAGCCATTCTTAACAAGGAATGCTGCGAACTGTCAAAAAAAAAATCAAAGTTCCCAGATGCCAATGGCTGACTTTGGGAAGGACACCTTTCTCTGTTCCAGTCTGGCTATGTTAACTCTTTTGTGTAAATTATGATGGCTTTAGAGATTTTTTTTAAAGCTGCTATACAAGAATATTGCTTTAAAATTCAAATCATTCAATAAGGTTTATAACAGACAGGCAAATAGCCTGGAGGCGATCAATTTCAAGTTGGGCTGTGCTTTTTAGCTATCTAAGGCTCTAGCAAAGATGTGAGTCTTGCTGTCTTGAGTTGAAACTTGGAGCATCACCCACTTCCTTGTCATTCGTGAAGAGGACGTCGTCATAGCACAGTCTCTCTGTCCCATCACGTCCCTCTCCGATTCTCAACCAAGATTCACGCTCACCTGACAGATAATCTCAACTGAGTAAACGATGGGCCAAGCAACGTAGCCAGCTTCAACCACTGTCTATCTCCTACCACACACAAGTTGTTACTCTGGGTGTAATATCTGTATCTTGTTGCTGGACTAACTTTTCTAAGTACTACATTGCAATTCAACTGCGAACACTCAACTAACAATTTAGCATTTCCCAATGTGTTTCCCCACCCTGCAGCTGGTCTGTGGGAGCTGCTTGACCTGCTTCATCCTCTGCCTGTGCCCAGCTGTGGCCTGGGGATTCCTATCTCTTCTCTTCTGCACGCCATTTCCCATTTTCTGACATGCTAACTCCTTGAGAAGCTGTGAGTCCAGGCTCACTTTTGACAAACTACATCATGTGGACATTTCTGTGTCTGTAGATGTAGAATTTTCTTACTCAATGGAAGAAAAATCCCTGACAAGGAGAAAGAAAAGCGAAAGGGCCACATGCTTCATGTAGGTCCTTCACAGCACTGTGGAGTCAAAAAGATCGGCTCTGCTTCGACACGTGCTTTGAAAAGGCAAATTTGTTCTCATACTTTTAAATTTGAAATGAGAGCACTGCGTGAACTTTGCTTATGTCCAATCTCTTATCTTGAGTGTAGAAAACTAGGGCTACAGATGCAACTCAAGGGTTAAAGCACAAGGGAGGGAAAGGGAGTAAAGGGAAGAGATAGAGAGGAGAAGCAAGGATAGGGCTGGGAAAATGCATGAATGTAGCAAACAAGGACTAGGTCCCAACTAGCCTCATGATCTCAGATAACCCTCCTTTTTGTCATGTACTAAGAACTCCAAGTTTCAGTCCTTTTGAGGTGCACATCCACAAGCAAAGGCAAGGTGCCCTGTATGCTGTATAGTTACACAGCATTTCAAATACATAAGCTGTATTTTTTGTTACATCGCTGAGGCAGTTTTTCAATGTTGTACCTAAGTCTTGTAACTTCTATTTTCTTTTTATTTAAGATAGGGGCTCATTATATACTGCAATTTGATCCAGAGCTTGATACACAGGCCAGGCAAACCTCAAACTTGAGATCCTCCTATCCTAGACTTCAAAGTTCTGGGAATACAGGTGTATACCACTATGGCTGGCATACTCTGTGGCTTTTAATTGCACAATTTGCATAGTATGGAAATTTTTAGGAATCCATATGTCACATTACAACAGCACTGGCTGTAAGCAAACTCATCCAAAAATAAAATATAAGGAATTCACATGTGAGGCATGTGAATAATTATCCTTCTTTCCTCCAAAGACCAGAAATCAATGACATCCAATTACCTTATCTGATTTAAAAGGCCAAGTTAATAATTAATGAAAATCTAAAAACAAATCAACATTTAAGATGCCATGTACTAGTCTATGTAAATGAACAGAAGCTTATATTCAACTGCAAAGCGCATAAATAAAAGATGACTTCTTTAAGTGACATGTTCTTCAACTGAGTTTTGATAACATTACATTGTGTTCCTGCATGTTCTCTGCTATAGATATCAACAATTCGCTAGCAATTGAGGATGGAAACAATAGAAAAAAGTCCTTTGTGTGCCTCCTATTTTGAGTTAACATTAACTTCTTTATAAACCTTCCATCAAGTGTTGGGTGAAGCTAATTATGGTATATCTTAGGTTGACAAAATACAGTGGACAGGCTGTGTGTGGGGGGGGGTGTGTGCCAGTCTTGGGGGTTGAAATCAGGGCCTGAGCACTGTGCCTGACTTTATTGTTCAGGGATAGCACTCTACCACCTGAGTCTCAAGTCCACTTCTAGCTTTTCTTTTTTGGTAGTTAAATAAGGATAAGAGACTTTTCTGCCTGGGTGGCTTTGAATCATGATCCTCAGATCTCAGCTTCCTGAGTAGCTAGGATTATAATTATGAGCCACCTGCACTTACCAAATAGCCAGTTTTTCATATGGCCCATCAGCCAGGAATGGTATGGTAGGCAGGGCCCTCCCTGATAGCCACACCCTAATCCTTCGAATATATTAGACTATACAGGAAAGAGAACTGTATTTGGATATTAACCAGATAGCCCAAACACAAGATGTTAGACTGGATTATTTAAATTAGCCCCATGTAAACTGGCTTGTAAAATGGGATAGGGACACAAAAGAGATCTGAGCCAGGTGCTGGTAGTTTGTTACTCAGGAGGCTGAGATCTGAGGATCCCATTTCAAAGGTAGACTGGGCAGGAAAGTCTATGAGACTCTTACCTCCAATTAACCAGCAAATAAGTGGAAGCAGAGCTATGGCTCAAGTGGTAGAGCATCGACCTTGAGTTTTTTCACTAAGGAAGAGTTCCTAGGCTATGAATCCAAGTCCAAGTAGCAGCACAACAAAAGAGATCAAAGGCAGAAAGAGAAGTGATCAGTGAGGCACTGAAGCTGGAGGAGGGAACCAAGAACCCAAGAATGTGTGCTACCATCACAAACTGGGCAAGGCTAGGGGCTGTATTAGCCACTAATGACCCAGGCAGGAGTACAGCCATATAGAGCCATGAAGGCCTTCGAACTTTCAGAACTGTAAGATACAGCAGCAACAGAAACTCCAGATAGGCAACAGTGCCTGAAATATTTACGATCTGGCCCTTTACAGAAAGTTTCTCAATTCCTGATCTTATAACTGTTTATCTCACAAGATTAGATTTTTGTCTTGTTTTGTTTTGCTTCCCTTAGGAACAGCAATCTGTCTAGGAATAGCAGTCCAGGAGAGGACAGGGTTCCAAAGCCCGCCTGGCTTTTCCTCATCAATAAGATCTCTCTTGGGCTGGATCCTAGGTTTTTCACATTGTGGGGATAGAAGGGTGCATCCGCCTTCTAGTCAGCCAAAGGATCATTTCTGATCCCCAAACAAAGAAGTAGAAGTATGGAACTTACTCAACAATGAGTGGCTGTAGCAAAGTTTTGTTTTGTTTTGTTTCGAACATTTTTCCCAACAAGAAGGAGGGTCTACATCCATTTCCTCAAACCTGGAAGTACTCTGGACTTAAGCAAGAGAACATGAAAACAAATAGTGATATGCTAACTTCCAGACTCAGGCCTTAACAGAGTGGTAGCTGCTTCTTGTCTTAGGAAACACTCCTGTCGGAACTCAGCTTCCATGCTGGAAGGAAGTCCAAGCAGCTATGAGGAAGGAGTACTAGAAGAGGAACCAAATTCCTATCTAGCCTTCCATGTAAAAGCTAGTAAAAACCATGTGAGTGAGTCACCTTCAAAATAGATCCTCCAGCCTCTGTACTCACCCCAGCAGGCCACCGCTGGAGAGACACAAACCTCCCGTGCCCAGCCCTGCTCAAATCACACATTTTGTAGCAAAAATAAACAATTGACAATGTAAGCCACTGAGTTCTGCATGATTTGTTTCATAGCAATAACTAGTATCTTGGGTCCCTCAGCACAGCTAAGAGCATGAGCATCAGGTTAAGTGACCAGACTAAAATGGTACAACAGAGACCTCCTGAATGCTGGCCTAGGAGGTCAGGAATTTCTGGTGCCTGTAAGAAGCTAGAACAGATTTTACCCCGCACATCTGTCATGATAGGAAGGCGAAAGTAGAAGGCTCTGATTACTGATATCTGATTAAGTAGCACATATGAAAAGATGCATGGACTAGAAGGACTGATGATCTGGAGAGAACAACCCAGGTTTCTGGTCTTGGCTCAGTGAGAGATTGCAAAAGAGGCTTTATAGGTGAATTGAGTCAACTTTCTCTTCTTTTTGCCTTCCTGTTTTACTCCTCTATGGGACCACACAGTATAAATAGATTATTAGCACAGTACCTGAAACAGAGAGAATTGTTCATCAAAACCAACTTCCATCCCTGTACAGTTCATGGGAAAAAGTCAGGAAGTTAACCTTTTAAGTTCTACATATTCAAAACATAAAATACAGCTCTATAAGCAATTCTCAGGTTCCAGGCTGAGTTGGTTTTCAAGACTTTATGACTTATTTCAAGTGCGATTAAAAGATATTCAGAACCAATTGAAAATTAGTCTGCTTCAAGCCAGGCACTGGTTGCTCAGGCCTGTAATCCTAGCTACTGAGGAGGCTGAGATCTGAGGATCACTGTTTGAAGCCAGACCAGGTAAGAGTCAGGGAGATTTATCTTCAATTAACCAGCAATAATCATTAGTGCAGTTGTGGCTCAAGTGGTACAACTTCCGCCTTGAGTGAAAAAGCTAAGCCTCAGAACCTGTACCACAAAAAAAAAGCTTGCCTTATATTGGAACCAAACATGAACAATCATACTTGAATATCTGCGTGAGTTTCATTTAAGCCTATAGAGTGATTTATGCAGAAATCCAGCTTTGACTGAGCAAAAACAGGTCTCAACCAGCCATGCTTTGAACAAAGGGTTGAGCTGCATTGAGATCACAAGAAAAGGCAATGTAATTGTTTCCAAAACCCACATCAATTACAATGTCTCCATATTATGTTTCTATCAGATGTCTTTATTCTGACTGGCAACATACTGTAACATTGAAACCTAGCTCCTCCCCAGTTTCTCCATTAAACCCTACCAAGGGGAATTCTTTAGCTTGATTTCTCCAGGCAGTAATAGCACCTGCCATCTACTCATGCTGTTTGATGGAACTACAATTTACTTCTTGCAAGGAAGCTTATAACCTACAATCTGACTGGTCCAGGAAAAATTTTTTAAAAAGCATCTTTGCCATCAGTTACAACAAAGCTCTTGCTATGGAATTCCCCCTCCCCCCATATTTTCTTCTGGTAACTTTTAAGTTGTAGATCTTAAAGCCTATGATGCATTTGAAGATAACTTTTGTAAATAGGGAGAAGTATGGATGGAGGTTCATTTTGTTTTCATGGTTTTTTTTTTCTCCCATGCGGCTATCCAACAGCTTCAACACGATTTCTTAAAATTGTTCGTTAAACTGGAACTTTGCCAAAGATTGAAAAGTTATCCATACTGGTGTACAGCTAGCTGTACTAAGCATATGGGGAGAGGGGAAAAGAGGCCAACTTGAAACTGATCAAAGAGCTTCGTGGATTTGGGCAGGTGGAAGAAAGAACCCAAAGCCCAGCTTCTGAAGATGGCCATCTCCTGATGGCACTAAACCCCGCTGACCACGACTTATGCACTTAAAAAAGGGTTGAATTTACAGCAAAAAGGGAGCCTTGTGGCTGTATACTGCCGACTCCTAGAAATAACAAAGAAGCTGCAAGTCGTTCAGCTTAGAGGCAGCAAAGTTAGGGGAAGCAGGCGAGCCCGGCACGTGTGTCCGGTACGGGATTCTCAGGCGCTTTGAAACTTCTGCAATGGATAAGGCGAATGCTGGGTACCTGGGGCGGGAGGAACCACGATCTCGGGTCCCCTGGCTCAGACCCAGGACCCAGACCCCGGGAAGGCACGTTTGAAAGGACCTCAGGTAAACAAGGGCACGGGATGTGTGCGGAACCTATTGTGTCACACACAGGTCTGGCGTTTAACTTGGCAGGTCAGAGAGGGGAAACTGGGAGGGGGGCCAAGCTCCGTCCTCCAGCACTCCCTGCACGGATGCAGACACTGGGGATGTCGCCGGCGGTCGGTGACCACCCTGATGTCGCCCTTCCGGACTTGGGACGTCACAGCAGGCGGCGCAATTGGAAGGCCCCGACACCTTCAGCCGGCCCCTCAAAGGCTTAGCCCTGGGCGCGCACGCGAAAGCGGGGAAGGCAGGAGGGCACCCCTCCTGGACCTCTCCCCTGGCGCAGCCGCGGTGGCTCTGAGGCCGCGTTGCCGCCGTCCCGCCCCGGAAGGGGTGCACGGCGCCCGCGGAGGTGGCTCGAGCATAACGGCCCCACGCTCGGCCCCGCAGCCGCGCGCCCGCCCCGTCTCAGCTCCCACCTGGTCTCCTGGTTGCTGAACTTCTTGGTGACCACCTTGCCCAACTCCAGGCCCAGGCGGTCGGCGACGCGCTGGGACAGGTCCTGGTGCGAGCTCCCGCTGAAGAGCACGATGTTGGGCATGGTGGTTCGTGGGTTCCGAGGAGCGCGCGGTGAAGGCGATCGCGACAACGACAGCGACACAGACGGCTGTGGCAGTTGCTGCTGGAGCGGGAAAGCACAGCGACGAGACCCGAGCTATGGGGAGGAGCTAAGGGGGAGGAGCTGGGGGAGGAGCTGGAGGAGCAGGAGCTGGGGGAGGAGCTTGAGGACGCAGGGAGCTGCAGCTGCCCACATAGCCCTGGTAGTTGGATGCGAAGCCTTGGATGTTCCCAGAGTGCCCAGGTGCCCAAAGAACTTTCCGCTTAAACTTGACCTTTCTGACCTGCCTCTCGGGTGACATCCAATCATCCAATTAACTAGGCACTGAAAGACAGAGAGATACAAAGCAATCAGAGAGATAGCTGTCAGCCAAGGGCTATGCCCTGACCTGGATTGCCCCAACTCCTTGTGAACCACTGGTGCTGAACTGCAGCAAGGCAGTGATGGTGGCATAAACCACCATTGAAACTCCATTAAGAGAAATGCTTTACCCCGCTCCCCCCCCCAAAACTCTCTTTTTCTTATTGGAAGATCTGTATTACCAAAAGATCAATTCAGATATTTTGTATTTTAAATTTTGTTGATAGAACTGAGTAGGCCACATGTCTACCGTTTGGGATTTGGGAGATTATTGAACTATTCATATCCTTGAGACATTTCATATGGATCCTTGTGCTTTGCAACTTAGTTTACCATGTATTGTGAGGATTTCTTTTAAACTCCTGATAGATCTGCTCGTCAAAAAAAATTGCCCAAGACACCATTTCCAGCAGCGATCTACCCTTCTCTTTCTGCTCAAAAAGGTGTATGTATTACACTAGAAATATTATAATTACATTAAAAGCCTTGCCTTCAATGCTTCATTATCTATACATAGTTAGGTGTACTGAATGATAATACTTCTTTTAATGACGGACCATATATACAAAAGTGGTCCCATAAGGTTATTTTGCTTAGTAACGGTGTTTTGACTGCCTTAGTTTTAAATACAACGCCATAATATTCACACAAGGATGAAATCGCTGAATGAGGCATTTCTCAGAACATAGCTCAAATGTTAAGCAGCACATACATAGCTATATTTCAAAATAAGCTCAATTAAATTTACATACTTAATTACTGTAGCGTTGATATTTAGTCTCATACTCAAGCATGTGTCTGAAACTTTTCATCAATGAGGCTGCTAATATAATTATATTTAAACTACCCTAATAAAATTTCTACTAACAATATGACCGTAATTTTATGTTCTTGAAATTTCTCTCATAGATAAAATAATGGAATTCCTCTAAATATATACATATTCATCTCAGAGTGAAACTGGCTTCCTATTAGCATTCTTTGATAAGATATATGAATTGTAAAGTACTATTAAGCCTCTAATCTCTGGGCTGATTAATGGATAGGGGTTTCGAAGATAGAATTTGAAATGTGACTTTTAACACACCATGACCTTGACACAATTAGAGAGAAGCAATATTGGCAGTGGAGTGACTATGATGATGCTGTTGGGTTAACAGTTTGATGCGTTTCTATGCTTATATATTCAGTGAAGAAAAGGGGCAGTATTCCATTGTCCTAAATGGGATCACTAATAACATTCATCAAATATCTTCATAAATGGGAAGTAGAGTATTTACATAACATGCACAAGACCCTACATTCAATCTCCAGGGCCACCAAAGAAATGAATAATAGTACAAGCTTATGGCCCTTGCTACAGGTATTATCTGTACAAACTCTCTCTCTTTCCCAGCCTCCTTTTCCTTGATCCATAAGCCACATTTTAGAGAAACCAGGACCTAGGACAGCAGTTGTCAACCTCAGCACCTTTGACTCATAGACTGGTAACTTTGTTGTCACTCTTTGTTATGGGGCTGCCCTATGCATTGGGAGATCCTTAGAGGGACTCCTGGTGTCTACAGACTAGATGCCGGAAGCACTTCTTTACCAGCTGGGATAACTCAGCTTGTCCAGACATTGTCAAAAATCTTTCAGGGACAAAACCACCCTAGGGTGAGAAATCTCCGAGATGGAGTTTGTGAACTTTTCTGCCTGGCACTAAGCTTTAAAAAAAATATTTTTTGGAGTATTTAGCATTCTTTTTTTGTACCAAGTCTTCAAATGCTGATATACATTTTGTGTCTATGGCATATTACAATTTGGATTCATCATATTTGAAGTACTCAACTAGTAGGTTTTTCATTCCAATATTGTGTTTAAACCTAACATATTAACTTGTCAGATGCTCTGCCTATTAGGGATAGTGATATTTGTGACCAGTTTTAGGTACTGGCAGTCAGATTCCTCCTATTAAGGCTACATTTTGCCCTCCTTGAGTGCAAAATTTCTAATTATATTCAAGAAACTTAGGGATACAGATATTTTAAGAGCAATGGCTGAGCACTTAATCCATTTGCCTGTGTCTTTTTGCCATGAATGTGGCAAGTAATTTATAATGTTACAAAGCATTTATAAACAATGTACTTAAAGATACCTATAATCCTAGCTACTCTCAGGAGGCTTAGATCCAGGGGATGGATCTTTGAAGCCTACACAGAAAAACACAAGAGACTCCATCTTCACATAACTGACCAAAGGTAGGCTGGAGGTGTGGCTCAAGTAGTAGAGCAATGACCATAAGCAAACAAGCTGAGCAAATATGAGGCACTGAGTTCAAGCGGGGTACCAGAAAAAGAAAAGTGTTAAACTGAGTTTAACTTTATTTCTCTTTTATTGCCTTTTCCACTACAATCAAGTTTTTTTTTCTCATTTTAATTTCTACATTTTCAATTTTTACATGATTATTTAAGGGAAACATTTTAAAAGGTGAGTATAAGAATAGCCATATACCCTTCACCTCAATTTTGAAACTCAATTTTGTTCAGTATTTTCATTATCTATTTTTTAAAGCATCTTAAAATAAACTACAGATACCACATTTTCATTGACAAGATCTTTAGTCTGCCTCTGTAAAAAGATAAAACATTATACCATATGAAAAAAATTAATTTGAAATGGATCAAAGACTTAAATATGAGCTGAAATTAAAAGTGTTAGAATATAAAAACATAGGTACAAATCTAAGGCTGGGTTAGGCAGTGAATTCTCTAACATGGTAGAACATCAAACACAAGCAACAGCAACAACAAAAATATAGAAACTGAACACCAAAGTTAAAAACTTATTTTTCCAAGGATGTTATCAAAAAAGTGAAATACAATCCAAAGAATGCATGAAAATATTTGTGAATCATGGATTTTAAGATTTACTTGTATCCACAGATTGTGGCCACAACTCAATAATAAGATGACCCAATTTAAATGTGGAGCAAGGAACCCATGCATGGGTGTCTTTGGCAGCTTTATTCAGAAGTGGCAAAACTTAGATGCAACTGGAATGTCCTTCAATAAGTGTAGAGACATTAAGGAAACTTCACTATATGTTGATAACTGAAAGAAGCCAATCAGAAGAAACTTCATTCAGAATTTATGTGTGACAGCAACTACATGCCATTCTGTAAGGGGCAGAATTACCCAGTGCAGAGATCAATGGTTACTTGGGTTTTGAGGGGCATGCCTCAAATTGTAGAGTTACCTGCTTAGCAAGCATGAGGCATTGAATTCAAATTCCAGTATTACCAAAGAAGGGTATTAAAAAATGTAAACAATTCAGCAACATATCTGAATATATATATTTCTCTAACAATACATAAATGACAAACAATTAAAAAGGTGCTCAAAAAATATAAATTAAAACCCCTGTAAGATACCACAGCATGTCTACTACAAAGGCAATAGTCAAAAGGACAAATGATGCTCAGTGGCGATGGAAATGTGGAGAAACTAGAACCCTAGCCCACTGCTCACACCTCTGTCTTGGACAAGTCTAACGATGAACCAAGAGTGATCATATGAATCTTACCCAAATAGGTATGTACCCCTAAAAAAACAGAAAATAGATACTCAAATGCTTTTCATGTAGAAAGATGAAAACAAGCCAGATGTCCATCATGAGTAGATAAAGGAAACAAAGTGTACACATAGAATGGAATATCATTGAGTAATTAAAAAAGCAATGAAGTTCTAATATGGGGTACAACATGGATTAACCTTGTAAACCTCATGGCAAGTGAAAAAAATCCAGACACAAAAGACCACAAATTGCATGATGTCATTTATATAAAATGTTTAGACTAGGCAAATGAATAGAAAGTAAATTAGAGGTTGCCTAGTTTGAAAGCATGAGAGGCTGGAGGCAGAGGTGGCTAGGAGTAGAGTTTCTTTGAAAATTGATCTTGGTGAATGTGCAACCGTGAATATGTTATCAGCCACTGAATTTTACATTTCACATGGAGAAATAACATAGTATGTGAAATGCATCAGCATAAAGCTGTTAAGATACAAAGACTTTTTGTGCAGGTACTAGGACTTGAATTCAGGGTGTGGGTACTGTCTCTTAGCATGCTTGCTTTTTACCTCTTGAACCACAGCTCCACTTTTGGCCTTTTGCTGGTTAAGTGGTGAAAAGTCTCATGGAGCTTTTGCTCAGACTAGCACCACATCGTGTTCCTTGGATCTCAGCCTCCTGAGTAGCTAGGATTAAAAGTGTGAGCCACCAATGTCCAGCTGAAACAAGAACTTGCTTTATTATTTCAAAATCATCATCACACCTAACTATGTCAAGTGATCCATGGTTGGTGTAGGTGGTAATAGCCTGATTTTTCAGGCTACCTTTTACCTTCCTCAAATGAAAACTTACTACTACTATCACGCCTTTCTATCTGCAAAGATTAGCTGGAATTCCACAATAAAGAACTTCCTTTTATCTTCTGACTATGGTCAATTACCCTAAAATACAGTTTGTCCTAGAAGAATAAGATGAAAGTTTGTTATTTCCTCTTTCTGTCTCTAAATACTATCTTCACAGAAAGCAAGCAGGGACCCATGGCAATTGGCTACTTTAAGATCATAGGTCGAAACAGGTGGACTGTGAGCCAGGACCCATTCCTCTTGGATATATCAAAAATGAGGAGGGATCTATCAGAAGGTCAGTGGTGTCAGCTTAAATCTTTTACTGTTATTGATCAAAGGCAGGCCAATGTGACCATTAAAAATGAATG